TGGGTTCACAGAGAACCCCTCTCCCGCTTGTCAATCTCTGTATCAATTGTCAATATCCATGTAAATAATTTACCCATTCGTTATACTATGTTGCTGAGTGGGGGGAATCACGCAATGAGCTAAGGGCTGCTGGGATACATGAAATCATATCCCTGTGGCAAGTTCAACTGGGCAGCAACACCTGGTTGGACCCCTGATAGGAAACCGTAAGTGTGTGTATATATGAGATAGTGTTTGTGTATATGTGTAAGAGCTAATGTAAGTGTGTAATGTAAAAGTCAGTGTGTGTGTTTGTGTATAAGAGCTAGTGTGCATGTGTGTATGTAAGAGCCAGTTTGTGTGTATGTGTGTGTGTGTAAGAGCCAGTGTGTGTGTAAAGGTCAGTGTGTGTGTGTAAGAGCTAGTGTGTACAAGAGCCAGTAAGTGAGTGTAAGAGCCAGTGTGTGTGTAAGAGCCAATGAGTGAGTGTGTGTTAGCAAGTATGTGTGAGCAAGTGTGTGTTAGCAAGTGTGTGTGTTTATAGGCCACTGAGTCTGTAAATGTCTACGTATGAGCCAGTGAGTGCATGTGTGTATAGATTAGTAAAACTTTGTCACTGAGAGCGACTATGGGTCTGTGAGCAATCGTGTGTGCCAGAGAGTGTTTCCATTCTTCTAAATTGATTTTTTTCTTCCATTTAAAAAAGGTCACACGTATGACACAAGACAAAGAGGAGTAAGACAATCTGTGGGGATTAAATAAGGGGGGCAGTAAGAGACAAAAATGGTACAAAAAGAGATAAGATACATTAAAGAAGGGAAAGACATCCAAAAGGGGGTAAAAGACACAAAAGACATTAGGGGGTTAAGAGACAATACGGTATTGCCCTTGGTTTATTAATGTAATAGGCATTTCAGTATGGGATCAGTGCAGGTAACATCCTGAAATGCTGGTGAGAATTCCATATCATGGCTGTCTCCCGACATGGGTCTCGTTGACAGAGAGCCCTTCTTCTAAATGGTGCTTCCATATTCCAGTGCATGCACACAACACCAAGGTATGGAAGTGCAGATTAGTGACATGTAAAAATATTGTTCATTTATGTATGCCTTGCTGTCCTAGATGTGGGAGGCATACGTCTGAGGCCATCATGAGATTCAAATTCAAATACTGTATTATTGTCCTGAGCGTATTATAATGATGATAGAATCATCATACAGTGTTTCTAACAGAGATATTTTAGAAGTTTTATGTTCTGCATCGTTAAAATTGAGACATCACATGCATCTCTTATTTGATTTTTATCCCATTGTAAAGCGCTACGGAATTTGTTGGCGCTATATAAATATAATAATAATAATATTTGTTCATTTTGTATTCTATGTATTTATATTTTTAAAAAAGAGTTAGGGAGGTTGGTAGTTTTAATACTAGTACAATAGATATATTCATAACTGTACTTTCTGACTGGGAATCAAGATCTGGGTTGCATAAAATTTTAATTAGCAAAAAAGTTTAAATTTTAATGTGGTAAATTGTAGACGGTGGGGACCTGAGGCAGCGTACTTTTTGTTAAGTAGAAATAAGTTAAAACTTATGACAGGCTCTCTATGCAGTATAACCTGAGAGCTTTCTGTTGGGGTTGGGAAAAAGGTGACCTTATCACTTGTGCTTCCTTTGTTTGACTAATGGGAGGGGCAAACCAGCCACAGTTACAGACTTGTTTTATTCAGCCACATTGGCAACTCAGTAATTGACTACCAAATGGTACCTGGCACTCGGCTACTCCACATTAAATTGCGTGTGATCCCTGTTTTAACAGAGGGAGCTTCTTTATAGTCAAATTTAAAATTATAATTTGTTGGAGGCTTTTCACCTCATTCCTTACTCATTATATTTAATTTATTTATTTGCCTGTCTGTCACATGATCTGTCTAATACTTCACCGAATATGTCAATATATAGAATATAGTTTTAAAGAGATGGCTTTTTATTAGAGCCTGGTGTTTTTCATGGTGTTTTATTAAAGTAACATAAAAAATACCAATTACTTAGAGCAGCACTGTCACCCCCTCTACCCCCTTAACAAAAGAGTATTATAGAATCCTTATGAAATAGTGATTTAGGCTGTGTTGGAATTTCATTGAAATTCCAACCCGTTCAAGAGATATATTGAGACAAAGTAGGGACTACTTTATCTCTGTATTTGTCCTCTGCCTGACTTTCTTAGACTCAGGGACAAGTCTAAGAATCAATCCTGGTAGCTGTCACCAGTGATAGCTACAGGGAATTGGCTGTCTATGAAGGATCCTGCAGTATCGCAGGATCCCCCACAGATCTCATTCATACGCAAGAGTTTAGCAGTGATGGTGGCTCATGGCATAGTTGAAGAGGAGCAAAGCAAGAAAGATTGTGGCATCTGTGAGGGACAGGTTCACGTAAATAATCTCCCATTTACCTGGCCCCACCAGACCCCCCAGTGGCGATGTAATTGTTGGGCTCTTTGCAAATTAGCAAATGCCCCAGACAGTGCCAGTGCCCCTTTACATCCCCCTTGATTGGTAACAAAAAAGTAACTCTCTCAGTGCTACAGCAGAGAACAGCAGGATGCAAAAAGAAACAGGAAAACTGCGGGAAATTTGTTATGAATAGTCAGTAGTGGTAACATAAAAGTGTATTTTATATGAAGGTATTAAATAGTGTAATATAGTGTAATAGGAAGGCTGTGCAAGTCACATGCATGGAGGTGTGACTAGGGTTCATAAACAAAGTGATTTAACTCCTAAATGGCAGAGGATTGAGCAGTGATACTACAGGGACATGATTTATACACCAAAACTGCATCATTAAGCTAAAGTTGTTTTGGTGACTATAGTGTTTCTTTAATTATTAAAATTAGCACTGTGGAATATGGTGGCATTTTATAAATGCCAGTCATAAATAAATAAACACAAAATAAAAACTCTTTATTTTATAACTCTTTATAACTTTGCTTTTAGCTGTGAAAATAGTGAAATCACTTTTCTGCTTCAATTTTTAATTAACGATTCTTATAAAATACGATACATTAATATGCTCAATAACACGTTTGCCATATTCTTTATGAAGTATGATTAGATACATAATAAGTAGAATAAAATATCACATTTAGCTGTAAATCCTTTTTTCGATCTGATTTTACATTTTAAAGCTGAAGTGGCAGACTTTCACACGCTGTGCGCATACAGATAACATGACAAGTGTCTGCCTTTTTTGCTGTATGTGTCAGCAATCACACCTTCGCAGCTGTGGAACTCAGAACAGGAGAGGCCTGTTGGCACATTCCCATGTGACAGCTATTTCTGAAGAATCATTATAATACATTTCTGGTGCATTGTGCATTGAACAGATCCAAGAAAATGAGAAGGCGTGTAAAGTATGTTAGACACACATAAATAAAAAGGCAAGTGTTTTCAAAATAAAAGATCTGCACTTTGTGTATAACTGTTTCAATAACAAAAAAAGGGCAATTTTGGGGGGATTTTTTATGTGTTGTTCTTATATATTTCTATTACATTTCATATTGTTATATATAGAAATTATCTTATTGAGTTTTACCTTGAACTCTTTAACATTTAACCCTTTAAAATATCACTAGGGGCTTTAAGAAGATTTGCTGATAATGATCTCCAAATGGCTCAGAGAGACCCAGGAAAGACCCATCTTGTCATCACTTGAAGATCTCCTTAATGATTCCATATCTAAATGATTTCCTTTTCTTAATGGCATTCTCTGTTTCCATCTCCTTACCTCTTGTTTTGTTACCCCTCATTATCCCCATTTGTTACCCCCATTGTCAGCTTCCCTCATCAACTCTTCTTCTTTTGTAATAATTTACTTGCTTGATTTTTTTAATCCAGTATACAAAACCGGATAATTTGTTGCTACTCTATAAATCATAACATATTATAAACATCTGTTCTCATCTATTTTTGCTACGGCTTACTATATCGAACAAATATTTGCATTCTGCTAATATGCGTTTGAGTGATGATATGAGTATTAGCTTAGGGTATGAAAGAGGACATGCAATTTCCAAAAGCCAGCACTCAAATATATAACACACAGACCTGGGCGCAAAGTCCAAGGACCCTGTCCTATACCTAAACTATAATGCAAAAAAAAAAAAAATGAACTCCACATCAGCAGGGTCATGTAGCTTTTATTTCAAAATAGCCTAGTTCAACACTGCAACTTAACTAAGTTTTGGATTTGTCGGGAGACAAGCTGATAATTTGCATAAAATAATCTTGTTACCACTATTATTGTGAATGAAAACCCCAGGATGTTAAAAAGAGTTGCGTCTAATCTTTGTCTGACACCTCACTCCTGTGTAAAGTGCCCTGTCTGCTTGTTTATTTATATTTTGCAGGGGGGTGATCAATACTATTTCCTGATTAAATCATTTATTTCTCCTTTAATTTCAGTATGATGAAGTCGTATAGAATTAGCACCGGCTTGCAAACTGAGCATAAGGCTTTGTTGAATTTTCAAAATACATCAATAAATGTAAATAAAGTAATGGCTCCAAGATTTGTAGGTGTGATGTCAAATATAGGGTGACACGGGATGCAGTACTTAGGAAGGAATCTGCAATTGCAATACTGTGCAAATAGATGTATTTAGGATAAATAAATTAAAACAAATGAAAATAATTAAAAACAGTCTTTTGATGAAATCCTCTCTTTGAGACGCGTTTAACCTTGTGTAGACTTTTGTCAATCGGTACTTTACTTCTCCAAGGTTCTACTATTTCTCCTTTATCCTACGTCTTCTCTAAATAGGAGAATCCGGGAGAAGTAAAAAAGATCTTCCGTCTCTTGGGTGAGGGTATTGGAGGTGAGAGCAATGAGGTGCCCGGCAAACCCCAGGTGACATGTTAAACTGTTCAAAAACGCTTTGACACCTTACGATTTGGAGGCACCAGGGCACTTAGGCTCCATAACTAGTGATGTAAACTTTGACCCTGTACCTCACAGTCAGCAGACACATTCCAGCCAATCAGCAGCAGACCCTCCCTCCGAGACCCTCCCACCTCCTGGACAGCATCCATTTTGAAGCTGCATTCTTAGTGAGCTGTCCAGGAGGTGGGAGGGTCTGGGAGGGAGGGTCTGCTGCTGATTGGCTGGAATTTGTCTGCTGACCGTGAGGTACAGGGTCAAAGTTTACTCAATGATGAGTCTGTGGCGAACCGTTCGCGAACCGTTCGGCGAACCGTTCAGGACATCATTATCCATAATCATTACTAAGCAAGCTGCAGTAGTTATGGTGCTTGGAACGTTCCTTTAAACACTTATGACAGTTGTTTTTCTAGCGTTGTTCAAAGCCTGCACTTACTCCAGGAAAATTATTACTCTGGTTAAGCTGTAACCAGAGGCCATATTGTGGGCCAATGGTAAATATCCCAGATTTAACAACTGACGTCAAAGCATAACTAATTTTAGCAGCAGCATAGCAGCTCGTTGTACTGTTCTGTAAACCAAGCTTAAAGAGGGTAAAGAAAAAAATTATTTGTAAAAATAGGAAGTACTTGAGTTTAAATTATAATTGCATCAAGGTATCTACCCCATTGATAAGATAAAAAGATGATAGGCCTGTTGAAAAAAGTTCATTTTGTAATCCACCATATATCTAACATTGTCCTGTAGATCTGATTTTAGTATTGACAGACAAGGTGCCATTCTGCACACCCTACCATTCTGTGAGCTTTTATCAGAGCAATCAGGGAATGTAGTGATTGAATAATGATGCAATATGAATCTTCGGGCTATATCTTCTGTAAATTGTAGTACAAATTGGTACAGAGAATGAGAAAAGCTTATTGATGCTAGAACAAGCCCTGTTAGCATGAATACACTGCTCTGCTGGCAAAAAAAAAAAGAATTATAATTTGCAATTATTTCTGAGATTGAAATAGCTCGGTCCATTGCTTTTTGGCTGTCTGCATTTGTTTCAATAGAATAGCATGTAATTCACATTATTTTATAACCGAGTTACCCATTAAAGACACATGCCACCACATTAACAATAAATATGTCATATTAACTATTTTTAATTAGAGTTGTGATGGAGCTGGTCCCTAAAAGCAGAGCCAGTTGAAACCTTGGGGAAAAGGGTTTCATAGAAGCTGCCAGTTGTACACTATGCACTAGTGAGACTTGTAGCCCTGAGATGTGTTCTAATTGGTTTATACATACAACATGTCATGGTCACATCTAATGTAGAAAAGAAAGTTAAATGTGCACTCACCAGAAGAACAAACGTAAAGAAAAAAAGACTCATTACAACCTTAAGGGAAAATGAAAATATTTTCCTTATTTTATTAGACTGTTTATAGTGTTTGCATACCGTTATATTTATTTAAAGAAAGTGGAGACAACACATACTTTATATAAAGGAGCCAATAGTTTAGATGGCTATTACTTATATCTTTCAAGGGTCTTTGCATATTTAGCAAATTCCCCCTAAGATGATATTACAGCTTGGGGTCCAGTGACCGAGGGGTGCAGTGGAAGTTAGTTATACTTACCTTTCTCGGCTGTCTCTATCTTCTTCCTGAGGACAGTTATCAGTTGTCAGAGCTATATCTCCTAGGAGCCACATTAGTGTTGTACTCTAATGCAGCAGCGTGATAGGCAACCTTCGGCACTCCAGCTGTTATGTACTACATTTCCCTGGATGCTTTGCCAGTATTATGGAAGAGATGTAGTCCACAACATCTGGAGTGCCAAAGGTTGCCTATCCCTGTGCCAGAGTATAGTCTGAGTTCTCTGGAGATGGTGGGAGCCTCCACAGATCATGTCTTGCATGCTCATGATGCCTCATTCCCAATGCCCTCGCTTGTGAAGGCTGCTTGGATTTGACAACAGTTACCGTGAAGCTCCAACCATGGTCAGCCTCAGGCATACCCAGTGATGTACATACCGGGGTCGACCCGGTATGTACCCACTGTGGCCAGCCTCTTCTCCTGGGGGGCCCAGGAGCCGGCCACCTCAGGGCCCCCCCAAGGCTGGGTCTGGTGTCACCCGGCAGGCTGGCTGGTGAGCGCGCGAGGGAGCACTCTCCCCTGAGTGCTCCCTCTTCAGCTCCCTCGCACACCGCACTGATACCGGAGCCGGAATATGATGTGATGTGCAGCCTGCCAGGTGACACCACTGGACCCCAGGGAATCCCCTCAGCACTCCCAAAGGTAGGGAGGCTGGGGGGATTATTTTTTTTTTTTTAAACGTGTGTATGTGTGTGTGTTAGAGTGTGTGTGTTAGAGTGTGTGAGTGTGTGTGTGTTAGAGTGTGTGAGTGTGTGTTAGAATGTGTGTGTGTTAGAGTGTGTGTGTGTTAGTGTTAGAGTGTGTGTGTGTGTGTGTGTTAGTGTTAGAGTGTGCGTGTGTTAGTGTTAGAGTGTGTGTGTGTGTTAGTGTTAGAGTGTGTGTGTTAGAGTGTGTGTGTTAGAGTGTGTGTGTGTTAGTGTTAGAGTGTGTCAGTGAGTGTGTTACTGTGTGTGTCTGTTACTGAGTGTGTTAGTTTGTGTGCATCTGTTAGTGAGTGTGTGTCTGTCTGTCTGTCAGTGAGTGTGTATGTATGTCTGTCACTGAGTGTGTTTTTGTCAGTAAATGTGTGTGTCTATTAGCTAGTGTGTATGCGTCTGTTCATGAGAGTGTGTGTGTGTGTCTTAAGCACTTACCTTTTTCCAGCGCCGGACTCCCTTGGCGCTGGGGATCTCTCCGCCCCGATCCGCCTCTCAGCTCCGAGAGCCGTGCGCGCATTCAAACCAGCCATTACTCAATGCTTTACTATGGATGTTCAGCGTCTTCTCACTGTGATTTTCACAGTGAGAATTGCAGAAGCTTCTCTAGCAGCTATCAATGAGACAGCCACTAGAGGCTGGATTAACCCTCAGTGAAACATAACAGTTTCTCTGAAACTGCTATGTTTTCAGCTGCAGGGTTAAAATTAGAGGGACCTGGCACCCAGACCACTTCATGGAGCTGATGTGATCTGGGTGTCTGTAGTGGTCCTTTATGTGTATCTGCATGCACTGGCGTACATACCGTGGTCGCAGGGGTCACAACCCTGTGACCAGGTACCCGCCGCCATATGTTGCGGCCCCAGCCCGCGCAGAGTAAGCGCGCGGGGGGGGGCACGGATCAGTTTTCGCACCAGGGCCCCATGGGTTGTGTGTACGCCACTGGGCATACCAGTAAGACAAATTAGCCCTTACTTTGTCTTATGAAATCTTTGTGTTGCTTTGGGATGTGAATGAAAGTTCAACACAGTTAGTATGACTATTTCATAAAGATTATGTCACAGAGTCACTTTAAACAGTTGTGCTATGATAAAGATAGTTATGGAAGGCAAGCTACTTATCAACAAGCTAAATAAAATAGCAGTTAAATCATATATCTAAAAAATAGCTGCATGATACGTCAACATCTTATCTGAGCAGATAGGTAGAGTATTTACATCTTTTTCGTTCCAAGCCTGAAAGATTATAACAATCCAAAGCTTAAGATGCAGCGTGGACATTTTCTAGATTCTCTCAATTTAAAAACCTCTAGGAAAAATGGAAAGCATTTAATGTGCATTTAATAAAATAGTGATACATAGGACCATAAAAATGTAATCTTGAAATTATCCAAGCTGCCATTTAGCCAATACCTACCTAATCAAGCAATTAATAAATAATGATACTAAACTGATTCCTAAAAGTAAACTCAGGAAGGTTTCACATAGTATAATCCATTTTTATCAGTCATGTTTTATTCCTGAAAAGTCTGTAAGTAAAAAACAAACGTGAGAGAATTACCTGATTGAGATGGACTATATAAGACATATGTTTACGGTATCCTTATGCTATCCCATATCTATATCCCTTGTATTGAATCACAAATACACTTATCACTGACACAGGTTTGTAAGACCCCATCATAATTTATCAGGGAAATGAATGAGTCCTCCCAAATATAATTGAATGAATTTCCAAGGGTCTTCATCAACCAAAGAGGAAGGGCGAGATAAGTGGTCCTCTCTTTCTCCTAATTTGAAGTTCACTCAATCGTCTGTTTAAACCCATCTCTGCAAACATTGACATTATTTACAGCCACCCTGGTCACCCTCTTCTATTCCTTGTCCATTTTACTGCCTGGCTTCTCTGATTCCTTTCAAGTAATATTTCTTCTCTAATTCTTGGGACTTCAACATTTCAATTAACACACCCTTTGCTTCCATTACTTCCACCATTGGACCATCCCAGTGGGCTAATTCTCCCACTAATGTAGCTGGCAATACCTTTGATCCTATTATTTCAGAGTGGTCTCTAATCTCTGTAACACTCCATTTCCTCTCTCAGATCACCAACTCTTATTATTTGTTCTTTTGTGCCCCCATCACCCAACATTCTCCCAACAGTTCTTTGACCTCCAGTAATTGTCAGCTGATGTATGTTCTCAACTCTCATGCATCCATACCTTCTCCTGTCCTTCTCTGGCTATTTCCTCATATAATACTTGTGGCGAAACCGACCTCGCCACTGGGCATTGAAGAAGACTGATTGCCAGCCTCCTGCCATGTGACTATGGCCCCTGGGATGTATTGCCCTTTAAAGACATGATTTGGGCATAATGGATTTGTGTTGTGCTGCTGCTGGCCCTTAAAGAACCATCTGGGGACATACTGTGGAGTTACTGGGTGGCCACCATTTCATGTATCAGAGGCACATGGTGAGAACAATGGATGAAGCACATGGTGAGAACAATGGATGGCGGCCATTTTAACTCACAGACACTGTTTGGACTTTTCAACACGGTGCCATCTCACCGGTATTTGGTGCACAGAGACATTGTGCAGTGGTTTTGGAATATACAACAGGGGACACATTAAACAGTAATTGTTTTTCATTTAGCCTGCATAAGTTCTGTGGAATCTGCATTAAACTGTATCTTCCAAAGTACTGAATGGATCTGGGTGAATTTTGGATATGTGGTTCACCCAGATCCCCCGGGTTATTGCATGTTTTGGGGTCCTTGTGATGTGTTTTATAACACTGTATTTCTCTGCCTGTGATAATTAGATTAACCATTGTGTTCAGTAATCATATCACAGGCAGAGGGGAGGATTTTGTGTGGGAGTGTCTGTGTGTATTGTA